ATAATATCTCATTTGAGCCTTATAAAAACCCTGGGATGTAGGTGCTATTATCATCCCCATTTTATAGATGGGAAAACTGAGGCAAAGGTTAAGTGTCTTGCCTAGGGTCATACAACTAGTAAATGTCTGAAACTGGATTTGAACCCAGGTCTTCCTAATTAGCTGGTCCAGCATTGTATCCACTGTGTCACCTAGCTGCTTCATAGAGATGCAACATGGAATAGAAGAGAAAGGATTGTGCTTTGAGTCAACAAGACTGAGTTCAAATCCTGCTTCAAATGTTAGCTGCTTGACCCTAAGTAAGTTACTTAACCTCTCTCAGACTCAGTTTCTTCATCTGTAAAAATGAGAATGATAATAATTCTTATAGCAATTACCTCATAGGATTGTGAAGACCAATGAGAGATAATGTATTTAAAGCAATTTGCAGCTTTAGAGTATGAAGTTAATGTCAGTTGTTATTATGATGTCACATTGAGTCTTAGCCTCTGGGCATCTGGAAACTCTATCCTCCCTTTTATCCTCATTCAACCACATGAGGACTCTGAGGACTGCCCTAGTAGAGTATCATCATTCCTAATGATGGAAAGTCACCAGGTGTAGAATGAGGTCCTGGCTAGGGATAAAGGTGTAGTGGAAAGGACATTGGATGAAGATGGCTCCAGAGGAGAAAGTGAGGCTGGTGACCTTGCACAGCCCTCCTCACTTAAATCCAATTCACATGCTTATGTCATGGCATCACCTCCCTCAGGTCACGGTCATCTTTGAGAATGAAAGACAAACAACCACAACAAAGGAGCTGGGTCACTTTATGGATGACTTTCCTCATCCATAAAATAAGAGGATTTGACTAAAGGATTTCTGTGATTCCTTCTAGCACTGATCCTATGATCACAGCTGCATCCCTGAACAACCTTTTTCCCTCCAGGAAGTTGACTTCCCAGCTGGTCCATCTAGAGCAAAGGAGCTTCTTCCTTTTCTCCTGAAATAACTGTCCCCTCGGGAACTGGAAGAGTGAAGTAGTCCATGTTCAACAACTCTTCCGCCAGTTTCCTGATACCCAGGGCTAGCCCATTATGAAAGAGGCTAATTTTATTTTTTGTATCTCCTCCATATTCCCTTAAGCTCCCAGCACCCTTACTGACACCTTCTCCTTTTAAGGTCCTTGTATTCCTCCAGACCTGAGCTCCCCAGGTAGCTAGCATCAGACCCTTCTTCACATCCAAATTTACCCCATTTCCTCATGAATTTGCTTTCAGAGACCAGCTAATTTGACAAATAAATCCATGCTGACTGGGTTATTAACATAAAGCCCTCCCAAGTTTAAAAAGAAAAAAACAGGGGGCATTGTAGAAAGACTTTAGAATGATGATGAAATAATTTTTAAAATTCAAAATTATAAGGTTTTATTCAGTGCCTTACTGATGCCTTATGTGATCAACCAATCGACACATATTGGTATGATTGAGTATTTTTATATATTTTGTTACACATTTCCCAATTACAAGTAACATTTTTTAACATTGATTTTAAAAAATTTTAAGTTCTAAATTCTCTCCCTCCCTCCTGTCCTTCCCCCTAGCCACCCTGAGAAAGCAAGCAATAGGATATCGACTATACATCTGAAGTCATGCAAAACAGTTCCATATTAGCCATATTGCAAAAGAAAACACACACACACACACACACACCACAAGAAAAATAAAGAAAGTAAAAAAAAAAAAGTATGCTTCAATCTACATTCAGAGTTCGTCAGTTCTCTTTCTGGAGGTGGATAACATTTTTATCATGGGTCCTTTGTAATTGTCTTGGATCATTATTTTAATTAGAGAAGCTAAGTCTTTCACAGTTGATCATGACAAAATACTTTTATGACTTCATTTGAAGAAGGGGCTCCAAAGGTGGTAATTTCAGGCTCTGTGGAAGAAGGCTGAGGGAGGTTTAGAAGTGGAGGGAGGATAGAGAAAGAGACAGGCCTTTCAGCAGTATCCCTTGAGTCGCTCTATAATGGATGGACTTTTTCATTGACTTTTAATTCTGTTCCCCCCCCCTTCTGTAAAATGTACACTGTTGAATTGTTGAAATACACATTTCTCCCTCTTTCCTCCCCCATCCCTATCCCACCTGCTCTCACTCTCCAGTTTTGAAACCATAATCAAATCAGCTCTGCCATTGTTCCTGGAAAGGAGTGTCAATCTACATCCCTCCATTAGCGTGATGGTAAAATGTTTAACAACCAGCTCTCGGGGGGGGATTTTTTTTTCAACGACACACTTTTAAGTTTAATCTGTACTCTTTTTTTAAAAAAATTTATTTTTTCAACATTCTTTTTTTGATTAAGATTTTGAGTTTCAAATTTTTCTCCCTCCTTCCCCTCCCTCCTCCCTAAGATAGTAAGTAGTTTGATATAGGTTTTATATCTGCAATCATGTAAAACATTTCCATATTAGTCCATGTTTCACAGCAAAAGGAACAAAAGGGAAAAAAAACATGAAAAAAATAAACAAAGTGAAAATAGTATGCATCAATCTGCATTTGGGCTCCATCAGTTCTTTCTCTGGATGTGGATAGCATTTTCAATTATGAGTCTTTTAGAATTGTCTTGGATCATTGTATTGCTGAGGAGAGCTGTCTATCATAGTTGATCATAATACAATGTTGCTATTAATGTATACAATGTTCTCCTGGTTCTGCTTTCTTCACTCAGAATCAGTTCATGTAAGTCCAGGTTTTTCTGAAATCTGCCTGCTCATCATTTCTTATAGCACAATGGTATTCCATTACATTCATATACCACAACTTATTCAGCCATTCCCTGATTGATGGGCATCCTCTCAATTTCCAATTCTTTGCCACCACAGAAAGAACTGCTATAAATATTTTTGTACATGTGAGTACCTTTCCCTTTTTTATGATTTCTTTGGGATACAGACCTAGTAATGGTATTGTGGATCAAAAGATATGCACAGTTTGATTGCCCTTTGGGCATAGCTCCAAATTGCTTTCCAGAATGGTTGGATCAGTTCACAACTCCACCAACAATGCTTTAATCTGTGTTCTTAACATTTTCTCCATCATTAAAAAATATTGACAATAAACAATACAATAAATCAAGCCCATTACTAGCTGTGTGACCCTGGGCAAGTCACTTAACCCCATTGCCTAGCCAAACACAAAAACAAAAACAAAACAAAACAAAAAAAACAAGAGTGAGGAAAAAAATAAATCAAGCGCTGATTTGAAATGTTTATTGATTTCTGAGGTGTAAATGCTCGCCCTAAAAATTTAACAACCAGCTTCCTGGAGCACATTTGAACTGGCTCCAGTATACCCCTGGATCTCCATCACCATCCCAGCAACATTCTATACCAAAGGGATCATCTTGAACCTTCACTATGTGTGTTGTCTTCCTGTATTAGAATATAAACTCCTTAAGGGCAAGGACTGAATTTACTTTTGTTGTTTGTATTTGTATTTCTAGCACTTAACACAGTGCTTGACACATAGTGAGAAGCTTAATGTTTTTTTCATTCATTCATTCATCTCTTCATTCATTCATCCATCCATTCATTCATCCATCCATCCATCCATCCATCCATCCATCCATCCATTCATTCATTCATATTTACCATACTGATACAAATAGAGGCTGCATTTGACATCCTCCCTGGACTTATCTGAGGCCCTGGCCAGAAGCTCTGCCATCCACTGCCCATTCCTGGCTCTGCCACCTCTCTCACCTACCAGCAGTTTGTTTAATTAATTGCCTATTTTGTTCCCAGTCACTGTGCACCCCCTTGGCCTCAGGTATGCATGACTGCCTGAGAGGTGATGGGCTGCCAGCTGCTGTATCTGTCCCTCATGGACCTCATCCCCCTCCAGACTCTGCTGGCATCACCCAGTGCCAGCCACCTGGGCATGCCACAGGGGTTGAGGCTCTGGCAGGGGCACAGATGCAAACAGGCCTCAAACTGGAGTAGGAGCTCAGAGCCAGACTTTTTCTTGTTATGCACACAGAGAGAAAAGGCCTGGATTTCCCCTTTCAAACAGCATGGGGAGAACCAGGGACTAGTGTCTGTCACAGGGTAAGATCTATAACAAAGGGATCTCTCCACATCCAAACCCAACTCCTCCACCAGCCAGAGCTATGAGGCCCACTTACTCACCGCCTTAGCATGGAGTGGGCCATTTGCCAAGAGCTTGGGGCAAACTAAGCAGTAGATGGGACAGTAAAACAGAGAGATCAGCTATAGGGTTTTCGAGGCCTGCCATGGGATACTCAGTTCACATTTATATTACTTCTAGATTTTATCAACATCTTATAAATAAGGAAAGTGATCACAGATCTCGAGCTGGAAGGGAATTTAAAGGTCACCTAGTCATACTGTCTCATTTTATAGGTGGGGAAACTGAGGCCCAGAGATGTTAAGGAATTTGCCCCAAATCCTACAAGTAATCACAACAACAAACATTCATTAACTGCTTACTATATTCCCGGACTGGGGATTCAAAGAAAGGCAAAAAAAAAAAAAAGAAAAGAAAAAAGAAAAAAAAAAGGCTTTGTCCTCAAGGAGTTCACTGAATTAGAATTCACATTCTAATCAGGGAGAGGACAAATAAATAAGTAGATACATATAAGTAAGTAGCAGAGTTGGACTTTGCATCCAGGTCTTCTGCCCCCAAATAAAAAGAGTGCCACTTTGTACCATGTATGCTACCAATGGCTTGTCTAGAATTACATGACTTATAAATGATAGACTTGTTATATAAAAGGGAATTGAACCTAGATCCTCCTGAGTTTAAGTAAGGCACTCTCTACATGATATGATGCTGCTTCCAATTTCACCCTTCTGTCTCAACATTAGGAGGCAGGACAACAGGTTACCCCTCTACCCTGTGTCCCTAGTACCAGTTCTGTTACATCTGTGTTGGGAGTCCTTTATGAGCCATGATGCCTCATGGGCAATGCTAATTGGATCCCAGACAGTATCTCAGGGACTGTGCTCTCTTTGGCAGCACATATATTGAAATGGGAATGATACAAAGATTAGCATGGTCCTTGAATAAGGATAACACACAAATCTGTGGAAGGTTGTGCCTTCTCATTGGATGGGGGAGGAAGGAAAGAATTTGGAGCTAAAAAAAAAACCAAAAAAAGTCTGTGCTTTAAAGAATGTTTTAATTTAATTTTTAAAAAAAGAATTTCTTGGGCTGAGATTAGAGGCCATTAATAATAAGAAAGTCCCCATATACACCAAACAATTTTAGCAGCACTTTTCATGCAAAGAATCAGAAACAAAGAGTGCCACTTTGCACTGTGTATTGGGAAATGGCAAAACAAATTGTAGAATATAGATGTAATGAAATATTACCATGTTGTAAAAATGATGTGTATGATGAATACAGAGAAGCATGGAAAGATTTATATGAATTGATGCAAAGTGAAATAAGCTGAGCCAGGCAAACAAGATACGCAATAACTATAACAATATAAATGGAAAGAACAACCACAAAACAATCAAAAGCAGATGTTGCAATTCCGAAGAAGAGATGGGAGAAGACACTTCCTCCTACTCCTTTGCAGAGGTGAGAGGTCCATGGTTGTTGGACATTACATATGGAGTGCAGCACTTTCACAGCATCATCTTTTAGGATTTTAATTGGCTCAACTGGAATTCTATCACCTCCACTAGCCTGATTGTTAACAATGCTTCCTAAGACCCTCTCGACTCCATTTTCTAGGATGTCCAGTTCTAGATCAGTAACCACACCATCATGGTTATCAGTGATGCTAAGCTCTTTCTTAAGATAGTTCTTCCATATATTTTTGCCTCTTCTTAATCTCTTCTACTTCTGTTAAGTCCTTACTACTTTTGTCTTTTATCATGCCAATTTTTTTGGTATGAAACGTTCCCTTTATATCTCTAATTTTCTTGAAGAGCTCTCTTATCTTTTCTTCTACTGTTATTGTTATTGTCCTCTATTATTTTCTTCTTCTTCTTCCTTCTATTGTTTTCCTCTATTTCTTTGCATTGCTCATTTTTAAAAAAAACCTTCTTATGTCATGGGATTTTCTTGGCAAAAATATTGGAAAGGTTTGCTATTTCCCTCTCCAGTGGATCATCTTTTTTCAGAACTCTCCACTTATGACCTGTCCATCTTGGTTAACCCTGCACATCATAGTTCATAATTTCATTGAGCTACACAAGCCCTTCTGCTATGACAAGGCAGTGATCCAGAAGGAGCAAGGTATATATAGTATATATAATATATATGGTAGCTCCTTACTCCTTCCAACTTGCCACTTATATTCATGGTTTGGGCCCTCCAGGGATGACTACTACCCCACCAGACTCAAAGATACTCTGCAGACCTATATGCCTAAAATTATAGCTTGTTAGTGCCCACCAATGAGCTTCCCTTTAATAGTCAGCCAGTAAACAATTAGCACAAAGCAAAAGCATTTATAAAGATAATGAGAGGATTGTTTAGTAGCTAGATGGTACAGTAGATAGCACACCAGGACTGGAGTCATAAAGACCTGAGTTCAAATCCAGCCTTAGACACTTACTAGATGTAAGTGGGCAAGTCACTTAACCCTGTTTGCCTCAGTTTCCTCCTCTGTAAAATGAGCTGAAGAGAGAAATGGCAAACTATTCCAATATCTTTGCCAAGAAAACCCCAAATGGGGTCACAAAGAGTTAGACACAACTGAGGAACAACAAAGAACATAGTAAGAAAAATAGCTCTAAAACATTCCCCCCACAAACCTGGAATGTACCCTCCCACAAATGCACATGGTATCCCCAGGAAGAGTGGGTGAAAAAAGGTTCACTGGTGGTGAACCCTTCACATATGAGTTCCATATGACTGAGTCAGCTCTTACCTGTGGCATTTCAGGGCCCTGATGTTCTTTCAGTTCTTATGGTATGCTTGTACTGCTTTTCTCCCCCAACTTCATCCTTTACCCCACCACAGCACATCTCCTCAGTGGGTCTTTCAATTGGGCCTTTTAGGCCATTAGCTCAACTCTTAACTGTCAGAACTAGCATCTGCATCCCCTGAAATCTCTGGATTCATCTCTGATGGATGTCATGTTTTCTATTGGGCCAGTAGCTTTGATGCAAGATTCCATGGCTGATAAAGGGAGGGAAAGATTAGACAGAGATGTGAAGGCCACACTGATTCCTGATTCTCAACTGACTCAATGCCTAGCAAGGGTTGCTACTCAAAAGCCACCAGGGGCATGGCCAGTCTTTAGCCAGATGTTGGAAAGCCACCTTTCAAATTCTAACAGGAAAACTTCTTCATACTTTGTAATGGGATAACAGGTTAGAGATATGTCTTTGCATGTTTAATACATTAATGCTTCATTTCTCTTACCCGCCTCTTACTTTCTGTGATTAATTATATCAACTAGGCTAGGATAAAAGAACCAATTCTCCTTCCCACTACATACACAAAATATATACGAAGTAATGGGTGGGGGCGAAGAGTGTGCATATAAGCATCTGGAGAGGGGATCAAGAAAAGCTTCATGTAAAAGTGTGTGTGTGTGTGTGTGTGTGTGTGAATGTTGGGGCAGAAATGTCTTCCAGGTTGTTGAGATTCAGGTTAGCATCTTCTAACCCACACTCTCTTTTAAGTCCAGATAGTGGCCTTATCTCAGCATTTTGACTCTCCGTCTACCCAGGGCTTAGGAAAGAGTGTGGGGAAGGCCTCTGCTATTTCTCTCCCCGCCCTTGACATCTGTGCATCAGTGTCACCTGGCTCTGTTGAGGCCACAAAGGCAAGCAAATACAGGCATATGACTAGCTCCAGGCTTGTGGCACCTTGATGTACCAAGGCTTGCTTTACAGCAAGAATCATGAAAATCACCTGGTGTGAATTACATATTACAGCTCCTGGATGCCTCAGTAAACACTGGATCCCAAAGATTTTTCCAGTTTTCTGGGCCTTTAGGAAAAGGAGTAGGGCCCATCCTGCAGCCTCTCAGATTGGGGTGCTCTTAAAAGTGCAAAACCATCCACTCCACTGACCTCACTTCTGTGGTCAAAGACAGCCATTACGAAACAGAAAGCAGACAGAAAAGGGGGGATGCCCAAGTGGACGTCGCCTTTTCCCGCAACCCCTGTTTTGTCCTACCACTGGAGAGTTGGGTTTGCTTTAGGATAGAGGGTATGGTCAGACCAAACACTTGACACTTACTAGCTGTGTGACCCTGGGCAAGTCACTTAACCCCAGTTGCCAAAAAAAAAAAAATGTGTAGAACAGAAGGTATGGGCCAGTGAAGACAGGGCTCAACAAAGACCTGCTTTCCCTGGAATATCCTCAAATCTTGAGGCAGGTCCAGAGTCCTCCCCAGTTCCATAGGATCGAGCCTGCCTTGGGGCCCAGCCTGTACCTCCCCGTGCCCCTGTGATATAGGTATAGGGCCAGAAAGGACTTCAGAGTGGACTTTCCACACCTGCTCCCCATGCAGACCTGGTGCCCTGTCTAACAGCTCACATTTATATAGTGCTTTGAGGTTTGCAATATACTTTACATGCATTATTGCATGTGATCCTCACAATCCGGTACAATTATTATCCCCACTTTTGTTGTTATTATTTAGTTGTGTTGGGCTCTTCCTGACCCCAAGAACTTGTCTATTCATGGAATTTTCTCGGCAAAGATACTGGAAAGGTTTGCCATTTCCTTCTCCAGCGCATCCCCATTTTACAGATGAGGAAACCAAGGCAAACAGGGTGAAGTGACTTGCCCAGAGGCACACAGCTAGTAAATGTCTGAGGCTAGATTTTAATTCAGATCTTTCTGATTCCAGGCCCGGTGCTCTATCCACTGCACCACGTAGACACCCCTACAACTGAGGCTCAGAGGGGTTAAGACATTTGTCCATGATCACACAACTAGTAAATATCTGGGGTGGTCAGGTGCATGGATTCAATCTTTGTGGATGTAGCTGTGATGCTTTATGGGGTTCAGACAACTCACCTTCAGAAAAGGAAGGCTCTAACAGGGATAGATAACAACAACAACAACAACAATAATAACATACTTTTATCTAGCCCTTTCAAGTTTACAAAGCTTTTATCATCCCCATTCTACAGATGAGAAGACTGAAGTTCACAGTTGGTAAATTTCAGTACTGGCTGAGCTCAAAGGGGCTAGATCACCAGATCTGGTGTTCTGCTCACTGCTTCTCCCTGCCTTTCCAAGCAGATACTCTGAGCTAATGAGGGTGAGATTTGCAGGTCTCTTCTCTGTTACCTCTAGTATCCATCAGATGCTCCTGTCAGGTCTCTCAGAGCCATGTGTATTCCAGATTCCACTTCAATTATTCGCAGGGCCCAGGTGCCACTTCTCCTGAGATAGGGAGGGAATCCCCAGAGACACAGTCCCTACGCAGACCCCAATGAATGGTCTTGGGAGTGGGGGAGGGAAGGAAGAAGCAGCATCCTTGACTAGAAACACTTCTGCCGTGTGTCAGAAAAATTTCTGATTTTGAAAAAGAACTCTGTATGGGTATGGAATGCTGCATACACTGTCAGAAATGGTTGATAGGTTGGTTAGTTTTTTGGAACTGCTTGTTTTTCTCTCTTTTTTATTCTTTGTCACAAAAGAAGGTTCACTGAGTAGGGGAGGATGAAAGATGTATGTGAAAGTAAAGGTGATACAGAAACAAAAAGATATCAATAACAATTAAAAAGAAAAAAATCAGTAAACAAGAGCTCTAAATGCCCAGCCCTGAGCCAAGAGCACCTATGTCTAATCTATGACTCCCCTTGGCCTAGTTCCCAGGTCATACTTTTTTTTTTTTTTGACTAGGCAATGGGGTTATCTAAGGCCCGATTTGAACGCAGGTCCTCCTAACTCCAGGGCTGGTGCTCTATCCACTGCACCACCAAGTCATACTTTTTAAATGGATCCTTCCTGGGCAGTGGACCAAGGCCATCTCCTATGCCTTACCCATTGTCACCTCAATGTCATAAGCCATCTGCCAGAATTGCTGAGGATAGAGCTATAATCAGCCCTTTGGGCCCCTAGGATAAGCTTCAGAAAATATGGCCTGAGTAAGCAACACAAAACCTACTCTAAGATCAG